TAGCGCCGAAGCGTAGGGCAGAATGCTCACAACAAAGCAAAACTGACTTACATATCGTATCCTCCTCGTCCAGTTTGAAGACGAGTAGCTGCTGGGGTCGGCGAGGCACACATCAGCATTCGTCCCAACATCAGCGAGGGCGGGGCTGCGTGTTGAGGCTCCTCGGCTCGGGACCATCGAAGAGTTGACGGCACTTCGGGCGGCGCTTCACTTCGCATCGGCTCGAGCAGCTCTGCTTTAGTGTGCGAAAGCACTTTTTAGAAAGCGAGGGCAAAAGAAAATCTGATTTGTGTGCAAACTGCACTTTTTAGAGAGAAAATTGCAAAAGAAAGTCTGGTTGGCGTGCAATTCGCACTTTTTGTTCAAGAATTACCGAAAGAAAACTTTCTGCCTTGAGGGAAACGAAAAGTTTCGCTGAATTGTATCTGCTTGGCCAAGCTGGCGGCATTGTGTAAGCACAAAAACCTATTTGCCTGGGTTTAGCGTCGACAATCAGCTAAAAACTCTGCTTTGCACGTAAAAACGCGCGGAAAAACAAAACCGAAGTTTTGATCTGGATGGCTTTGAAGTAACTCCAAAGCAAAAAAGTCTGATTCGAAGAAAAAACTTCATAAGAGAGGGTCTGGATGGGAAAATTCCCAGGGGAAAAGGAAATTCTGCTTCGAAAGGCAGCTGGCAATGAATAAATTCACTGCCAACCTGCAGAGCGGACGCTGCTGCAATACTCTACGTTGCCGTAAAGCATGCTGCACAACGCCGACTGCACTGCCCTTCTTCTCGGCGTCGACTTCGTCGATGTCCCTGCTGCAGTTGATCGGACCGCTGCTTGGCACGAGCTGAAGCGCGCGGCCGATGAAGAGAGGCAATCTGCTTCAATCTAAAAGAAAAATTAAAGTTTTGGCTCGGGAAACGAGCGCAAAACCTCTGCTTTAGGTTTTGGCTGATCGGGCGGCGAATTGCATTGGAACAGCAATCTGGCAGCGCCCAATATGCCGGTTGCGAGCGCGCGCTAGGCGAGCTCGACTTGAAATCTGCGTTTGAGGGGAAACAATTGCTCAAAAAAGAGCAATTCTGCTTTGGGGAGATGGAGACAAGCCTGAATTCGCTTAAAGGTTTTGTATGAGGACCGTTATTTTAGAATTTCAAAGAAATTTTGAATTTTGAGCTAACTGGGATGCTTGCGAAATGAATCGTACATCGACAGCTAGTTATTGAAACAAAATTTAGACGAAAGAAACGAAAACAAAAAAGTAAACTAAAAGAAAAAACGGTCCAACATACAAATTACCTTTTCGCGAGTCCTCCAGTCTGCTTGTCCGGCATTGGCGCGGCCATCACAGCTTCTGGGCTGGCGATTCGACCATCTTCTCGGCAGCTCCAGCGTTCCTTCCTCCTCCAACTTGTCCCATAACGTCCGGCCGGTCGGTCATGAAGACTGCTGTCGAAGAAGACGGGCTTGAGACTGCTTTGAATCAAAAAATACAAGTTTTTGGCTTTAAAAAGCTCAAAAACTTCTGCTTTTTGGCTAAAAATGTCTGAAAGGTGGCAAAACCTGGGCTAAAAGCCCTGAGCAATAAGCTCGCACTCACAAGTGAGTGTTTTCTGACATGTGGCAACGAATGCCGGGATATTTCTCCCATTTCTGGAAGAAAATCCTGAGCTATCTCGAAGAGAAAGCTCAAATCTGGGTTGTTTGGGTTTCCCCAGCTGGAAGCAACTCTGGAACACACAACAAAGGTTGTGAGTGGAAAATAAAAGAGAGATAGATACTTTCTGGGCAAAGAATCGACAATTTTTTTAGGCCGGACGCCGGGGAAAAGTGGTATGAGGCCACGATCCCGCGGTCGGCTCCGTCCATCAGGCTACGGCGACCCGTACAAACCTGTGAAAAAGTCGAATTCTAGGCCAAAAAAAGTAGAGAAAAAAGTGGGAAAAGGAAAACAAAACGTGGGAAAACGTTTTGCACGAGGAATCTATCTGCTTTTGCGGGGAATGTTGCTTCCGCGGTGGCATAAATGCCAAAAAGTCTGCGTTGGGTGAGAAAAGGGTGCGATAAATCGCAAAGGAACAACGAAAACAAAACCACAAGGCTTTCTCAAGGCCTAGGGCGTGAATTCGTCTCTTCATTGTCCTTTTCTGCTTCAAGTCTTCATTTTCTGGACTGGCCTTCGACGAGTGCGCACTTCATCGAGGAGCCGGCCTGCAAATGCTGTCTTGAGCAGCGAGGAGCGCGAAATCTGCCTTCTTGGGTCGTTGCTGCGGCCGAGTAAACCTGAAAAAAAGTTTAATCTGGCTCTGGACGACTGATGAAGGAGGTCTGCGTTCTGCGAACCGAAGTTCGGTGCCTGGGCAAGCTCGAACACACAAAGCGCTCTCTTTTACGTTTAGCTCAGAGCTAGAAACGCTATTTCTGCTTAGTTTCGACCTTCCCATACGGTCTGGCCTGTGGTTAGCTGCATGCAGACCTTGTTCTATGTCTACAGCCTTCCATCGCTCTGGGATGAGGCAAAACCCTCTCCTCCTGGCCCCTCGGATCCTGCAACAGCTACGGGCGGACGTCTGTGGTCTACTCTCCCGTTTTTCGCGCCGGATATCGCCTATGCGCTATCCCTAGGACGCTGCCAGTGTTCAAAGGGGGACTAGAGTGGTGAATAACATCTGCGCTAGGCAGTGTTAAACTCTTTGTCGGCAAGCCGAACCTGAGAAGGGCGGTAATCAGGGCCATGACTACCCACCGATCACCTCACCTGCGAGTTCTGGTAGCGGTTCGATCGCACCGCAAAAAGGACTGGAGAGAGAAATCTGGGTCTGCTTATGCACAAAAGTGCTCCGGTATCTTCTGCTTGAAACTTACCCAAAAAAGGGTCTGCTTAAACTTACAAAAGGTCTGGCGTAAACAGCAAAATGCAGTATTGACCCGGTTGAAACCTGGTAGACGCACCATGACAAAAGGAAGCGGCTGCCTACGCTAGACTAGCAATAAATACTAGAATAGCGCCCACGCGAAGGCTTGCCACCCGCATCCCTTGTTGGGATAAAGACCTGAACCAATAGAAGACGCGCGAACGGCTAATCAGCGGTAGTGTAATGCATTTGTCTGGATAAGGGACACTCTTGTGGAATAAGAGTTTATTTATATACAAGAATAATACCGGAGAACATAGAATACACAAGTCGGGGATGGTCTGGGCTAAGGGGAATGCGCTAGGTCTGGATAGGATTGGAGAAATACACTCTGGTCTGGGAGCTCGCCGGGGTCACCGGTATCGGGGATGCAGGAAACATCACACCAACACCGAATCGCCCTACCAGTCATAGCAATGACCGGCAGCAATTCTCCCAGGAAGGGAGAAAATGCAGCGACTGGGGAAAATGCCCCCTTTCCCCGGGCCGAGGGCGGCCGCCATACGGTGGCCCGCAGGGGGGCGCGCGCCGGGACCCAGGGAGAATTTGGCCGCCCGCGAAGTCCGCCTAATTAAACCCTCGTAAGTCCTGTAGAATCGTAAGATTTCTACAGAACTTTCGACAGAGTTAACGGCAAATAAGAATCGAACTTGTGGCAAAAGGTCAAAAAAACTTGGTAGGCCAACGCACTAGCCACTTGGCCATGCATAGGACGGGATCCAAGGCGCGTGAAGTCCTCATGTGGCAGCGGCGATCGACCGCCGCAAATGACCTCTAATCACCACAAGGGTGCCGATACCGGGAACATCCTACTATATATAAAAAAATAGTGTCTGTGTGTGTGTGTGTGTGTGTGTATATTTGCATGCACTTCCGTTTGGATGTTCCGCACCTACAGCCTCGGGAAAGGGTTTTTTGGATAGGGAAGAAACGACAATAGGTTTAGAATGGTCCGGAATCGACTGCACACACATAAAAATTTTGAAAAATTGTGGTTTTCGCTATTAAAAATAGGTTTTTGTAAAACCCTGTTTGTTAGGGGAAATTAGCATGCGCCGGAAGTAGGAGGAGCCTATATAAAGGGACAGAGGAGCCGTTTTTCACTTTTTTTGCTAGAATTCAGGAGAAACATGCAAATTAAGGACTTTCACAGGTCCTGGACGGGGCCAGGGTTGAAAAGCCGCGAAGCGGTTTTTCAACCCTGGTTTTTAATTAAACCAGGGTTGAAAAACCGCTTCGCGGCTTTTCAACCCTGGCCCCGTCTAGGATTTATGAAAATTTGCATAATTCCTGCCGAAAAACGATGACCAAAAAATGAAAACCGCCCCTCCCTTCCTTTTTATAAGCCATTTCCACTTCCGGCGTATGCTAATTTTTCCCTAACAAAGAGGCAAGCCAAGATTTTTACAAAAACCTAATTTTAATAGCGAAAATAGCAATTTTTCGAAGATTTTATGTGTGTGCAGTCGATTCCAGCCCCTTCTTTACCCTATTACGTTTCTTCCCTACCGAAAAAATGCTTCCCTGAGGCTCTAGGTGCGGAACATCCAAACGGAAGTGCATGCAAATATACACACACACACACACACAAACACTATTTTTTTATATAGTAGGATTTAATTTTCTAAAACACCTTTATCGATCAGCACTTTTTGAAAACGGGATGTTGCTCAGAATTGTTTTCTCTATCGAACTAGCTAGGTCCCGTCCCGAAACTCCAAAAGCACCTAAAAGCGACTCCTTGTAAGCCTAACCCTGAACGTAAGCATAAGCTCAAGCTAAGCCTACGCCTACGCCTCAGTAAAGCCTAAGGCCGAAGCTAGTCCAAGGTTGAGCCTATTTTTAAGCCTGAATCTAAGCATAGGCCCAAAGTTCTTGGAAATTTCCAGATGGCGCGGCTCAATCTGGAAAGCGCTCCTCTCCGAACTATCACTTTGGTTATTGTGTTTCGCCCTGGTCGCCTACATCTACAATTTCCAGCTGGGCACCGAGGCGCAAAGATATGCTCTTCATAACCTTATTTTTTTTCTTATTTTACTTATTTTATATTTGTTTTCAGAACGGCTGCCCGGCTGTCCACCCAGCTGAACCAAAAGATGGACATGATCCCGCTCAGCTTCATCCTGTCCTTCTTCGTGACGGCCGTCGTCGCTCGGTGGACGCACATGTTGAATAATATTGGCCTTATTGACAAGTGAGTCAGGTTAGGAAGTATATGGAAAATCGTTGGGCTGTTGGTCGGGGTTTGTACAGTAGATAGTAACCCAAAGGGAAACAAGGCCTGGGAGTGCTTTAAAGGGGACCAGCGTGAGCCTAAGCCTAAGCCTAAGGGTGAGCCGAGGCCTTAGTCTGAGCCTAAGCCTCAGCCGAAGCCTAAGCCTAAGCCTAAGCTGAGCCTGACCCCCATTTCAGCTTGGCCCTTACAGCCGCCTTCCACATCCACGGAACCACAGAACGAGCACGCATGTTGCGAAGGAACATTGTCCGTTATGCCGTCCAGATGCAACTTCTCGTCTTCCGGTTGGTATCTTCAGACCTCATCCCCGCCCGCTAATGAACCAGAACCAAAATTCCTTGTTTGCAGCGACGTCAGCACACAGGTGCGCAAACGATTTCCGACGATCGAGTCGACAGTCACGGCTAGTGAGCGAGAATTCCCACTTCAACTAAACGTCGATTTTCAGACTTCTTCTCCGCCGACGAAATGGAGACGTATCTCAACTACGACAACACGTACACCATGGCCAAGTATTGGATGCCGATCGTCTGGGCACAAAATGCCATCCATATGGCCAAGAAAGAGGGGCTCATCCAGTCGGATATCCAATACAATCATATGTGGCAGGTGAGGAGGAGGAGGTGGTGGATACTGGATGATTACTTACTTCCTGAACTGCTTGAAGATGACGTGGACCAGAGCCTTATCAAAATTCATTCCTTATGTCTTGCCCGTGCCTTTGAGAAGGGCCGGATGAGGTTGATCTGAACCTGTTGGACCCGTTCGACCTGGCAGAGAGAGAAAGCAAGAGAGGGGGAGGGAGAGAGAGAGAGAGAGAGAGAGAGAGGGAGAGAGAGAGAGAGAGAGAGAGAGAGAAAGAGAGCGGGGGGAGAGAGAGGGAGAGAGAGCGCGAGAGAGACAGAGGGAGGGAGAGTGAGAGAGAGGGGGTGAGAGAGACCGCAAAGCATTCCTCACCACTTCTAAAAACTCAAAAATATCGTCTGAATCTTGGGGACTTCTGCTGAATGTTAATTGGCGAATTTTGGTGAAGTCAGGTTCTCGGGGCCCGTAGTTTTAATTAACATTTACTAAAATTTCTTCAAGGAGTTCAGATTAATTTAACCTCGCACCTTTCACCCCTCTTAACACCCTACCTGCAACGATCACCCCCACATTTCAGGTGCTGATGGAGTGGCGCAGCCAATTGGCCCAAATCGTTCACTACGACTGGGTGCCCCTCCCATTAATGTATCCCCAGTTGGTCAGCCTCGCCGTCCATTCCTATTTCTATTTATGCCTCGTCTCCCGTCAAATATCTTTTCTCGACTATCAACAATGGGAAAGGGGCATTTTGGAGGTACTGTTGGGTGGAGGATTTAGGTATCGAAATTTCAGGAGAACATCTCGAAGTGTACGTTCTCTGTGCTGCAATTTATCTTTTATGTCGGATGGCTGAGGGTGGCTGAGGCTCTGCTCAATCCAATGGGGGAGGATGATGACGATTTTGAGACTAACTTTTTGTTGGATAGGAATTTGAAGGTGAGAGGGAGAGAGAGAGCGAGAGAGAGAGAGAGAGAGAGAGAGAGAGAGAGAGAAGAGAGAGGGAGAGTGGGAGGGATGGAGCGAGGTTGAGAGAGATAGAGAGAGAGGGAGAGAGAGAGAGCGCGCGCGAGAGAGCGAGAGAGATAGAGAGAGCGAGCGGGACAGAGAGAGAGAGCGAGAGATGGAGCTAGAGAAGGCGAACGCTAGGAACGGGACGGAGTTCAGAGTTTTTGGATTTTTTTTTGTATTTAGAGAGAGAGAGAGAGAGAGATAGATAGATAGAAAGAGAATGAGAATGAGAGACACAGATAAAGGATGAGCTAAATTGACCCTTCCAGATCGGTCTCGCCATAGCGGATCGTGGATGTTCTCACTTGGCCCCTCTAGAAAAAGATCCCCATTGGGATTCGGCCCAGCCCCTCCTCTACAGTCAATATTCCCGTCCTGTCAATGCCCTCTATGGATCGGCTGTGGGAATGGAGTAAATTGCCTTACTTACTACTCCCATCCTCAAAGAATCTCCGCCAGTCTGCCCACTTTTAGCGACTCCAAATCGCCGATGGCACGCCGGAAATCCACGCAATTCAACATGGTACCACTGGAAGGGGTTCTGGAAGAGACACCGGCTTGTCGAAAACCTACAAGGTAAACTGTGCACTACGGACTACAAAACAGGAATTTGATATTTTTTAGAATCGTCGCCCCGCCCAAATCCGCGATGGCTCAGAAGAAGTTCTCGCGCAGTCGGATTGGAAGGTAGCCTTCCAACTCCTAAAGCGAACCATCCAAACGTTTAGTACAAACTTGCACCTGCTGACGGCCGTAGATCAGAAATTTTGTATTTTCAGTGCTTCCGACTCGCTGTCAACAATGACCTCGATACCCGGAACCCCAAAAAACGGACATCCAACCCCATTTTTGCCAACCATTCAGCTGAACTTGATCGGTTTGTTGTTTAGGCTTATGAATAGGCTCGGGCTTAGGCTTAGGCTTGGGCTTTGACTTAGCTTAGGCTTAGCTTTGGCTTAGGCTTAGCTTTGGTTTAGGCTTAGGCTTAAGCATAGCCTTAGCTTTGGCTTTGGCTTAGCTTTGACATGGCTTAGGTTTAGCTTAAGTTTATGCTTAGGCTTAGGCTTAGCTTCGTTGATTGATTCTGCCCCCAAAAATGAGAAATTCCAGACGAAGCCGACGAAGCCGGGAGGGATGTGGAACGAGGGCATCCGGTATTGTCAAGCTACAAACTTCAAAAAGCTGCTTTTCAGGCCAACCATTTCCTCGCAAACGGGAAGAAGAAACCGGAGGGCGGAAATGACGAAAAATTCTAGACACTGAATAAATTGCATTTATCGAAAAGCTATCACTACCATCCCCTTTTCACTCTAAAAGTAAAAAAGAAAAGCAGGTAAATCCTAAAATCACCACAGATAAATCCGATTGTACTAACTATATTTTTTGGTTACACAAAACCACGATACTAGACATTTGCACTGTTTTCACCCGACCCTCCCCCTACCGTACCCCTTCTCCCCTAAATGGCCTCATTTGATGGTTGGGGCCATTGATGGATTGTTGTGCCTTTTGAAGGGGAAAGATGTCCCCCTTTAGATGGGAAATGACTCCTTCCCTCCCTCCCTCCTTCCCCCCCCCTAATCCCCTCGTTTGTGCCCCAAGTAAGCCGTGTCCAGAGGAGCCTCCCGGAATGATCGAGCGGCCCACCCTCAGGGGTTGGCCCGCGACAGGGCCAGTGGGCGGGGCCAAGGGGTACGGTAGTCCCCGGGCTTGGCCGGGGTCTTCCGGCGGCTGGTCCTTTCCAGTAATCCACAAGCCCTGGGGCTCAACTAAATCCACCTTCAACGGGAGCGGCAGCCGGAAGACGACCACAAAATAGACTCGACACGCCCGGTCCCAGATGGACCACTCCAGATCTCATGATCTGGCATTTTGTGGTGGGTCCTGGATGAGAGGCTTTTAATTTTTAGTTTGACTCTTCTTTTTCTTGCAATTTAACCTTGTATCTTTTTTATTATTATTGGTCTGTTGGTTTTTGGCAAAGCAAGCTAGCAGAGATTTTGGGAAAAGCTAGACTAGCAGAAAGGAAGTCTTCGGAAAGCCTTAGGAAAAGGCATTTATTAGTCTTACTCCGTCCCTCTTTTTTGGAGTTTTCACGTAGCGTACTGTCTCGTACAATTTCGTTTTTTACTTATCTGGTCGCTTTTGGCATGGCAGGCTAGCAGAGTTTCTTTGGGGAAATGGTAGACTAGCAAAAAGGAAGGAAAAGGTACTTGATTGTTTTAAATTTGACTCGTCCTTTTTTTTTCCTTGCAATTTCCACGTAGCGTACGGTCTCGTCCATTTTATATATTTTTTTTTACTTATCCGGCAGCTTTTGGCAAGGCAGGCTAGCAGAGATTCTTGCGGAAAATTTCATATTTTTTAGTTTACTCCCGTCCTTTTTACTTGCGATCGCAATGTAACTTACGTTTTCGTACGTCCATATTCTTTATTTAGCTGGTAGCTTTTGGCAAGGCAAGCTAGCAGAGATTATTTGGGACACGAGATTAGCAGAATTAGACTAGGAGAAAGAGAAGTGAAACCTAACAGTTACTCTTTCGGAAAGCGCGAACCTGCAGAGATTCGCTAGGAAAATATAGGCTAGCAGATTTAGTTTAAAGGCCCGTATTTTCCGCGCCCTCTTTAGCACTCGAAATCTTCTGAATTTGACTTGAATCCCCTTTCAAAATGGCCTATTTTCAGTTCCGACCGGTCTGGGCCACCTGGCCGACGCGCACTCGGCCACCGCCCATCTACTCCAGCCATTGCAAGTGAGGAAAATCGATTTTTCGCCTATCTTTTGGGTCCATTAAACTTACCTTTCCGGGCTTCAAATAATTTTCCAGGACACTTGCTCCTCGTTGGCCCCGTTGCAGTCGCCGTTTGATCAGCTACACCAGGCCTTCTACCCCAGCCATGTCTCACTACATGACCCGATTCCCTTGCCCTCCACCAAGCTCCCCAAATGTTTGTTTATACTTCGAGCGATCGGGCCCAGAAACTGCAAAATTTCACTTCTCCAAATCTTTAAAAATTAACGGTTCTTTTGCATTATCGGGGGGGGGGGAGGGACAAGCAAAAATGCCTAGTAACATAATAACCAAGATAAGCAATTTTTTGCAAATTTAACCGTATTTAATTTTGTAAAACTATCGAAAAACTTTCACAACTTGAAAATTTTTGAAATTTTGGTAAATATGGACGTTTTAGAATCGGCAATTCTTGGTTCGAAAATTCGTATTTTTAATTCATAAAGTTTTTTACGTTTAAGAATAGTAAAAACGGGTTAGAGACGCTTCTTCAATTGATTTAAAAAATTAAATTCCAAGGAAAAAGTTGCCCCGCTAATGCCCCCCGATAATGCAAAAGCACGAAATTATCAAAAACCTTGCTTTCCAGTGGAATTGGCATCGTGTAAAGAGGAAACCGAGGAAGAAGGAGATACCCATGCTGAAACAGAGGCCCCACCGATCAAGGGAAATAAGCCGAGACGACAACGAACACATTTCACTAGCCATCAAGTAGCATACATCCATCAAATCGATACCCTTTTTGTTTAGCTGAATGAGCTGGAGAGCTGGTTTCAACGGAATCGATACCCGGATATGGCCACGCGAGAAGAGATTGCCATCTGGATCAGCCTCACCGAGCCGAGGGTCAGGGTACGGTAGCACGAGCAGAATTCGATAAGGCTAGGCCGAAGCCTAAGCCTAATCGAACCCTAAGCCAAGCCCAAGCCAAGCTCCCGATTTAGGTATGGTTCAAAAATCGACGCGCCAAGTGGCGCAAACGGGAACGCAACTATGTCACCGACGTCAAGGGAATGCAGGTACATCTGAGCCCAACTTCAGCCCAAGCTAAGCCCAAACCCCTACAGATACCAAAGCCTAAACCACCTAAGCAAACACGCACGCGTATGTTTGTGCGAGTTATGAAGCTTACTAAGGCATTCTGAAGCCTAGATAGGCCTAAATACTAAGCCAAAGCTTAAGCTAACAAAGTCTAAGCAGATACATACGCAGGCCCGTACGAGGGGGCACCGGGGCACGGTGCCCCCCCCGAAATCGGTCGAGGTCCGATAAGTTCATAAGGGGGAACCCCTATGATTCTTTTTCGCAAAAATTTTTCTGCCTGCGGCGCTGTTTATCACTGTTTCGAACGATTTTTACTTCTAGAAAACCTATTTTTCTAAAATTTTTTGCCTGCGGCGCTCGTTTTCATTAGTGCACCAGTTTTGCTGAACAAAATTTCGCTTGCGCGCGCCGTTTCCGAACTGTTTTCACCCGAATTTAAGCGGTTACAAACGTTACAAATCGCCAAAAATTTTTTGGGTGGGTGCCCCCCCCCCCCGAAATCTCGGCTCCCGTACGGGCCTGTACATACGTCAAGCTAAGCCAAAATCAAAGTTTCAGTCGACAACCGCAACAGGAGGGTCGATGGGCGCCTCGATGAGCCTGCCCCCATCCATTCCGTCAATGTCGACGCTTGGCGGACTTCACTCCGGGCTTGGCGGGCTTGGCACGATACAAGTAAGTTGAGGATACGCCGAAGCCCATGCCTAAGCCTAAGTCTAAGTCTAAGCTTATGTCTAGGATAATCTTACGCCTATGCCTAAGCCTAAGCAATGTTGTTGTAAGGCGTAGCAACGGCTGTTTCAAGCCCCTTAAACCCAAAAATTTAGAATTTGCAGGTGCAAGGCAGCTTCACCCAGACCCTCATCCCGCACAACCAGGTCGGCCCTAAAATCTATACAATAGGATGAATTTTTCTATATCAATACATGCCGTAATCGTTTGTTTCAGATCGACTCGTTCTACGGTTACGGTGACCCAACAGGCTGGCACACATACCAGACCCGTGCCCCAACAGCTGCCACATTCAATTGGACGGTCAAGGGCCAAGTGAGTACTGCCTTTCTATGGGGTGGAGTGGGTCGGAATGTTTCGGAAAATACCTAATGGTCCTTGATGATTTGCCATTTCCCTAAAAATATCTGCTAGCCTACCCTTTCCCTAAGAATCTTTGCTAGACCGCCGTTCTCCAAAAATTTCTGTGCATTTATGTTTCCTAAAGAATCCCTGCTAACCGGCCTTTAAATAATTATTTCAGCTAGCTCTCATTGTCTCAGGGACCCCTGCCAGCTTGCCTATTCGCCAAAATTCTTTGCTAACTTGCCCTTTCTGTGAAGCGCCTTGATAACCGAGCTTTCCACAAGTCTCTTCTGTAGCCTACCTTTCCCCAAGATTCTCTGCTAGCCTGCCCCAACATCAAAGCCAAATAAACCCATCACTATCAAGCGCGGGATCTCGCGCCACCCAAAACGGGCGACTGCCACCCCAAAAAATTTGCATAATTTGCGCGTTGTCCATACGGTGTGCGCGAGGCCGACATAAGGGGCGCCGCGTTGCGCAAGATTTGGGCATGAAGATGTGGGCAGTCGGCTGGAAGGAGAGAGAGAGAGAGAGAGAGAGAGAGAGAGAGAGAGATGGGCACCATATGCTCATCTTTCTACCACCTTTCCCTCCTTTATGGCCGGCCGATATGTCCCAAATCACATCCCATTCCCCATCCCCCCACCGGCCAATTTGCCCAAACAATGCCGTAAATGGGTGCATGGGGTAGGGGATGGAAACCTAGGTTAATGGTAAAAGTTGCTTATCGGGGGGAGGGGGGGAGATGAAAACCTTTTTCTTTTTAGCTGTTTTTTCGTCAAAGCTAGCAAAAAAAGTCAACCTCTAACAACAACTCTAACGATCTAACAAATCCTTGGTTACAAATAAACCACAATCACCAAAAAGAATGCGATACATAGTCTAACTCCTTATTAACAGTCCGTTTTCTCTGCCCGACCCCATTTAGCCTATTTCCCACCGCGCATCCCATCGCCATCACGGTGTGCGGAAAATAATTAGCGCCTCGGCGGCCCATTTGCCATCCAACGACGGTGAAGGCATTTAAATCAAATTTGGGAACGGAGTCTTGCCGGGGAAGGACCATGGCCCTTATGTGGTGGGGGTGTTCAATTTCGAGGTGACCGGCCAACTGGGGGCATCTAGAGGCATCTGTCGCCCATACCCTTACAAACAATGGCACCAGGGGGTGGGTTTCTGGCGAAGAATCCTGGCGCTGGTGGTCCTGGTTCCAATCCTGGCGGAAGTTTGGCGAAAATTCGGAGGTTCGAGGGCTTTAAATTTGAGTTTTTGGCCTGTTAGAGGCAGCAAACACTCCAAAAACTAAACTAAACTTTTCCTGAACCCAAGATATACCTAGTAAGGCAATCAAACCTTTTTATATTGTCTAAAAAATTTAATCATATTTCAAGTGATAGACCATGCAGAAAACCTAGAAAAATTTAGTTTCCGGCGGGGCAAAAAATTAGATTTCTTTTTGTCGCTTCGGCAAAAAAACTACATTTTTAGGCCCAGCTAGCAAAAGCTTCCACCTATTCAGGCACTTTTCAAACTCGTTTAAAGTTTTCTACTTCAGCTACAGTGAAAAGTCACTAAAAACAACATAAAAACGTTTTATATTCCCGTTCTAGGCCAACCTGGCACTAGAGAAAAAAATTAGACTATCCAACAGACTTCAACAATCATATTTTCTAACCCCGATTTTAGTTCCCGTCCCCCTCTTCAATGCCCGTCGTCCCATCGTCCGCCTCGGCCACGACGTTCACCAACCTACAACAACAACAACAACAACAACACAACCCCGCGCCAACGTCCGACGTGAAACCCCTGAAACCCGCGCTCACCGATTCCACATACATGAATTGCCCATATTCTGGTCCGCTTTGAAATATGAAACTAGTCACCTGCCGTCTCGCCATCGCCCACCTAGTGCCATCCAGAGCGGCCGGAGATCCACTTTTTGTCGAAAAACAAACCCCGAAAAAATTGACCCCGGCCGCTCACTTCTCGATCTCAAGCCAACTCTTTGCCATGACCTTGCTTTTGATTTTCTGATTATATCGCCCATAGGGAAGATAAAAATATGAATTTACAACGAAACTGTGACGTTTGATTAAAACGCATTTCCAACGAACGCAAGAACAGCAAATGACAAAACACTCCAGAATCCTTGATCGATATAAACTATTTATTTTATTCTATTTTGCGGGGAGGGCAGGAAAATTTATAAATGATTTTACATTGTTCTTACTTATTCTTCTAAAAAGACACGTAAAAACTCCTCGAATATTAGAAGCAGAAATTGTTGCTGATTGGTTGGGCGTTTGGGCGCTAAGTTGATATCATTCTCACCGGAAAAATTAGCTCTACAATTCTTCGCTTTTTGTTTTTCTATGTAAAACTAAGTTACAAGGCTTGAAAGTTTTAACTGAGTACATAGGAGCGCCGCGTGGGCCGTTCTGTACGAATCTGGAGCGCGCCGAGGCGTCGTGATTTTTGCGAATTAGAATTTGAGGTTATTTACATCGCGGATTTCGGTACAACTTTCCATGAGGAATACTTTTTCAGCAATTTCCGGAATGAGAAGCCGATATTTCCCTCTCGCGACGGACCGGCCGGCGGTGGAGCGGCACGCCAATGTCCTGGTACTCGAAGATCTACGTATGGGTCCGTGAATTCCGAAAGCGACGGCCAATCAGGGTATGTCTTCAGTTTTGACCTCAAGAGCTTTAATTTCATTCAGGGATGGCTGCTGACAAAATTGCTGAATGTGATGCTCGTCTGCCAATTCATCATGGCCGGCTACATGTAATTTTTCGTCAGATTTCTCATCAATATTCACGTTTTAGCCAAGTGATGTACTGTTGGGCCGTTTGCTATCGAATGTTGGACAACAAGATTCAGGTGGGAATGCTGATAGCGAAAAATTGGATTGTGAATTGCGGCTAG